CAGATCCAGTATGGCCAAACTATTGCAGTCACTACAACATGCACAACATATTCTAGGTATGTTGAATACTTTGCATCCAGTTTTGCACTCAGCCCATATGCTGGTACTTCCATCTAAGTTTTCTGGGGCAAGTAGACATGTTCAAATGTTATGTTTCTCCACACACCTCTGAACGGTGTTTTAGGATCAAGCTGTGATAGTACTCCAGCATTCATAGCCTTCTTTCCTCATTTCCTGCTAGCCATTTTTTTTACCTTCTTAAAACTGTCTCCTTTCTGCTGTTAGCCTGTCTCAACTACCACTACAATCAAAAGACTCTTTGCGGGTTGGGTCTTTGCAGATCTCTGGTCAGGTTTTCATAGTGCGGTGTTAATAAATGCTCTACCCTTCTGGGTTGCAGCACTCATAGATTGACCAATAGCAGACACTGCCAGATCTGCTGGGTGCTTTGAAGCAATGAAGGAAAGAATTCAGCTGAGCTAAGACCTGCAATTTGCAAGGAAAGAATGATTGTTCTATCTTGGAGAAAGAGCCAGGGAACTAACAGGTAGCCACAAGGAGACATGCATATATTGATGGGGTATATAGGGCTGGACAGGAAGAAACTTTCTTCTACAACATGACAGTTTGGATCCCAATTGGATCCTGTATTTTTCTTTGTCAAATGCAAACTGCCCCTGGACTGACATCTTTTTGAGTTGAATTAATAACAAAAAATAGATTTTGCCTTTTTTTATGACAGTGTGCTGTACCAAATCCAAACCATTTACTGCACTTTAATTCTGTGTGCTGAGGAATAATGCAAAATAAAGCTGTGCTGCATGCAGCTTTCAGCAGTACCATGGGCCACAAAATCTAATTTTAGGCATTAAAATTGATTATTTCAACTTCAATAGTTCCTCCACTCTTCTGTTTTATCTCCCTTTTCTGCTTTGATTACAAGTTGCTTGTCTGAGTGGAACATTTTGGTGGCAGGTGTGTATTTTATATGCATGTTTCTTGGGGGACAGACAGAGTGGGTTATTCCAGAATGCTGCCATAGCCTATTGGTTGGAAGGGAAAATTTAGAAAACCTAGCGCAAGGGGAAAAATTAGGAATTCTGAACATGCACACTCAGCACATGGATTAAATCTTTCCTCAATTGCCTTCTCTCCCTTCATGTCCTGGTTAGCTGTTTCCAGATTTATTTCTCTTGAAAGATGAGTGGATCCAGAAGATGCACATAGTAAATAAAAACTGTGGCCTTTAATCTTGCTGTGTGATCTTTGAATGGTGAAAATGTGCTGTAACATTTCTGCACTGTAACAGAAAAAACAATTTGGCAATAGTTGTTGCTGATTCTTAATTCTCAGGGAATATTTGCTATAGTTGTTTTGAAGAAATACTTGTTAATTTTATGACCAAAATACTAGCTTCCAATCTTCTTTTTCATTTACTGAAACAGTTAACAACAACAATCTAAAACATGTAATGTGTTCTGCTTTCAAACTTGCTGTGAAAGATCTTGTTTTATTTAAGTCTGGATTTCTCTTTGGTTTAAGAAACACATTGATTAATCAAGTTCTAAAGGTGTGGATTTGTTGTTCTGTAATGCTATTAAATTAATTGCACACAGTATCTTTGGCTGTACTTTTGTGTTCACTTCCCCAATTAAGAAATGTTGTTCAAAAACTAAATGCTGTGAAAGATATGAGAGCATCTTCTAAGAAGAATAAGATCATAACCATGGTTTATTTCATGTATGAATACTGGGTGATGATCACATTTTTCCTCTGTACTGGTAGAGACCATACTTATGCAACTTTTCCTACCTGTGTGCCCCATCAGATCTTCATTTTCATAAAGGAAAGCTATTTTAAATTATTCTTTGTGTCTGCTTGTGCAGAGTTTGTGTCAGTGATGAAGTGATCTCTTTCTTCTAGCCAAGTACAGTGCTGGCCTCAAATTTTGCTGCATAAGCAGGCTGTACTGTGCCTTTCAGCAGTACTGCTCAGCTGTGCTCAGGGTCATGGAATGGGGAATGCATACAACTCTATAGAGTTCTTCCCTGATAGACCTGATGGTTGCATTAGACTCTAATTAAGGCAAATTTTCCATTAAACATTTTATAGAGGTCTTTACCATTTTCGTCCAAGAAGACATTATAAAAAATCTATGCCCTTAGGAAGACACCAATTTGCCGCTTTTTTTTTTTTTTTTTTTTGTCTCACCTGTGTCATTGTAGCTAGGTGCAATGCAGAACTGAGCATAATTTCATTTAAACAACGAGAGTTAGGGTATCGTAGTCATCTCATATGGGTAAGGAACCACAGAGCCATTCATTGCTATGAACTGCCTCACTGCCAGGCCAAAATTTAACAGAGTGAATGTATGAACTGAGCAGCCACTGTCCCCTCTGGACACATGAACAGCCAATGTGGGGAAAGTTCCTTCACTACAGTGTCACCTCTGATGATATCTCCCTGTGCTTTATTCAATTCCTCCCCAGTAAAGAGCAGGAGAACACTTTGTGTTACTGTGGAGTGGTGGAGAGGCTGTGGGAGACTAGTACTGAACCTGGCCTCAATCCATGTTGAGAAAAGGGTGGCTTGTCAAGGGACAACAGCTTCCTCTCCACCTCCCTTTCCTGTCTATAGACAAAATTAGGAGTACCATGAGCAGTATTGCAAGAGAAGCTGCCCTTACAGCACAGGTGAGTTCCAAAAGATAGGATTTGGTATTTGAACACTTGACTTTCCAAACTGAGTATAGGTGCAGCCTCTCTTTGAGTTCTCCATTTAGTTCTGGGCCCCACAATTTAAGGAGGATGTGAAGGTCCTTGAATGCATCCAGAAGCATACCTCAGAGCTGGTGAAAGGGCTGGAAGGCGTGTCCTGTGAGGAGAGGCTGAGGGCTTTGGGCTTGTTTGGAGCAAAGGAGACTGAGAGGAAACATCATCCCTTTCTCATGCTTCCCAAGGAGGGCAAGAGGATAGAGAATTGCTGATCTCTTCCCCCTGGGACTCAAGTGATGTGTGGGAATGGTTCAGAGATGCGCCAGAGGAGGTTTAGACTGGACATTCAGAAGCATTTCTTTACTAAGCAGGCATTCAAACACTAACAGGCTTCCTAGAGAGGTGGTCAATGTCCATCCAAGCTTGTCAGTGTTTAAGAGGCATTTGGAGAATGCCTTTAACAACATGGTTTAATTTCTGCTCAGCCCTGAACTGGTCAGGCAGTTGGACTAGGATGATCATTCTACAGTCCTTACAAATGAAATAGCCTATTCAAATTTTTGTTTCTGATACATTTGTTTTTGTGTTTCAGTCAAGGAAATATTTAGCCCCCAAAGCAGTTTTTCAACCTGATACTGTGCAAGGTCAGAGATTCACTTCTCTAGTGATAATTTCACTGGTGAGGTGACAAAATTGTTTCTGCCAGAGGATGCACTCAGGTATAGTCCAAATTACTACAGTATTTCCAGAAAGCACAGTGTGATTTTTTTTTCCATCTGCACTTACCTGGCAAAAGGAGTTGTTTTTATCCCATGTGCAAACACTGACAAGGTGATCCACACTTTAAATTGTGTTGCATATGGGGTGGGTGAGTCCAAATAGAGGCTGATGTAAATGTATGGGCACATTTCTCCAGTGGGTTCTGAAACCAGGCTTGGTTTCCAGTACCTATAGTTTCTTTTCCTGCATTACCAGTTTTCATCTTCAGACACTCATTCTTAATATGTACCTCGTTTCATTTTATAAACCTTGCCCTGCTTTATAAATCCTTTACCCTGCCTGTCCTGATGAGACAAATCGATGGATGATTATAAGGTAGCTCTGAATAAAAGTACAATTTTTCCTTCCCTTGTGTTGCCTGACACTGCAGGAGAGTGGTAGAGGGGACTGGCTGCGCGAGAGAACTGCTTTGCTTTGCCTTTGCCTTAGAGTCGATATGGTCTATTGCCATATACTGTTAAAACTTTAATCTGTAAAGTCGAGAGAAGAGCTTATTTAAGCTTTACCAGGCTTTAAAACATCACTTTTGAAAGCTCTGTGGCTAACTTCTCAAGGCAATTCCCTCTGCTAGAACCCGGCTCTCCCGGCTTTTCTTAGCAGCGGTCCCCGTCTCTTTGCCGTTCGCAGCCCGAGAAGGCGCTCCTCGGATAAGCCGAGGAAGCAAGGGGGCAGTGGGAGGGATGCTGCCGGCAAGCTCTGTAGATGCCTCTTCCCGGGAGGCCGTATACTTTTGGGGAGTAGGAGAAGCGGTACTCCCTTCTTGGGAATGCGCGGACTTGCACTGATAATCCCCGCTCCGGGAGACGTGGGGCTTCCCACGGCTCTTCCACATTATTTTCGGGCCGGTGGCACTCGGCTGCGGAGCTGCGGGCGCCCCGCGGCTTTCCCCGGCACAGAAAGCGCCTCGGTGCCCGCTCCGGCTGCCCGTCCTCCTGAACCCGAGCGGGGTCGGGAGGGCTTGCGGACAGCGGGAAGGCTTCCCATCCCCGCTGAGCCGGGCGTGCTCCGGGGGACACCGCGGGACGAACCTGGAAACACGCCGGGGGGGG